TGATATAGCTGGAATTGAGAGCTGAGCTTGACTTCGTGGCCTGCCTGAACTAACACTATGCTTAAGATGTTACTATATGTATGTCATTTTTATCTTTAACCAGTTTCAAAATGACATAGCATATTTAAGTACAGGAAAGGACAAAGTCAGCTGATGTTCTTTCTGAGGCTTGCTCAGCGTGAAGCCAACACAGAAGTGTACATGCAGTCTCCCTAATGGCCAGCAGGGGGCTAGTTTTATTTTCTGATCAGACACCTGTAGTGTCTTTTTCTCTGGAGTTCCTCTCCTGTTCTGCTTTCATCCTCTCCTGCGTCCTCCTCTGTGACTCAATCACTCGCAACATGTAGTCCCTCTAGTCTCAGCCCCCTCAGAGCACCACGGAAGAACACCTTCACACAGTTATTTCTACAGAATTTCTTATAGAGCATCTTTTAGGTACAGCTCGTCATCTGTGCGCATGTGTGTGCTTAATTGTAACTTCAGGTCCCGAGTGTGTCAACAGAGTGCTTGTTTACCTCCACATTGTTTGAGCGGCACTGGCAGTTAAATATCTGACTTTGGTGCCAGTCACACACTTTTCAGTGAGATGCCATCACAACGGAAAAGTGTTGTTGTTGTTGTCTCCTGTTGAATATTAGATGGGGGGGAGTTTGAGAGTTACACTTGACATTTCTTTGACCATATGCAAGTTAAGTAGTTGTCTCATTAATATCTATACATAGCAACAGGACAACATCAGGATGTCTGATTCATTGTCTAAAACACAAAACATCTGTTGTTGGTGTGATTCATCACATGATATCATAGACATGTTTTAACTTCATGGCTGCGGTCCAGTTGTCAAAAAAATGATGACCTATGACCTTTCCTGAACACTTTTCCTAGAAAGATGTGAAGGAGAACCCATACGGATGTAGGAAAAGACAGCGGCATTTCCTGTCTAAAACAGAATCACACCTCCAAAGGGTATATTTAACTATAAATTACTCATACCGTAGGAAGTAACATGAAAATACATAGAAAACAAAAAAGGTTGAGCTATTAGATAATAGAAAAAGAAATAATGATCAAATAAAGATAAGGAATTGAGCTGGTGACCAGAGTAAATTATATTCAGGTATAAGTATATGGAGTTGGGTGGGTGGTTTTGACCTTTTTATACAGATGGTACAGAAAATACAGCACCGAAAATAGTTTTTTTTATTATTATTATTTCACAATGGGGGCATTTAGCAAAAACATTTATGAATATACTATTTTGTTATGACGATGTTGTCAACTTCAAATTCATTATGCTTGGTTTTCAAGATGACTCCTAACGTGATAGCCTTGAATCTGTATTCATAGATTTGGACTTCCGTAGGTTTTGCTTTTCTGGATGCTGTGTTTCTACATTTACATGGGTCTGCCATGGCGAAAATACAACTTCATTAGTTTAAATGTTGCATGGAACTGTGGGACGGCATTATCTCCTTTCTTTTGGTAAAGGGTGCTCCAGTGTATCCTATGCCAAAGAAGATAGGAAAGGAAGCATTGAAGCATCTTTCTTAGTATGTAGAGAATTCAAACAGCTCTTATCATGGTTGCTACTGAAATACTTCCCTCCTTTAGGAAGCTTCCTAGACAAAAATGGCTATTAGAACGCAGCCCAAGGCTCACAGGATGAATATCACTGGGGATCTGAGAAATAGTAGCTCTTTTTGACAATGCAAGCTTCACAAACTATCTTTATTTTGCCTTGGTGGAGCACTTTACCTGATGTATTTATTGTTAGATTGTAGACACATTACTGGCCTTACAACTCTTTTCCATGTTCCAAAAAAAAGCTGACACTTTTTGTTTCATCTTTCCAGATGCAGTTTATGTAACCTGAGGGACCAGGGAGAGTCTTTCCCGTTTGAAGACGATTCACGACAAAGTCAGCTATCCAAGCAAACCTGCAGTTTGCTCCTAACGAACTCACCTCTCTGAGAATGAAAGGCCCAATAAGACTTGTTGAATAAAATCACGGCGACCGGGAGCCGCTCCGGCAACCTCTGATAGGCATCACAGTGGACATTGTGCCCGTCTAGTCATGTCTAAGTCATAGAAGGAGAAGAGTGCGTGCTGCCATTCTACAACCACGTGGATGGGGATCAGCCCCTACTGTAACCTGGACTAAGAGAAACACAACAACCCGATGGGAGAGCTTTCTAACATCACTGTTTATGTACCTGGGTTGTTGTCATTTATTGTTTTGTTTTTTTTGTTCCTCTTTCTCCAGGTGAGGCTGTGAGAGTCACTTCTTTTTCACTATCAATCACAATTACCTTCATAAAGCATCCCCAGATTAGGAAAACATTTGCAAACACTTCTTCGTACTACACTTTTGTTTTCTTTCTTTTGTACGTATTGTTTGCAGTAGACATTCCTTGTGTATTGTTTGTATTTATTTATGATTACCTACAGAGGATGACATTTAAAAAGAAATGTAACTAGTCACTGGCCTTCTCTTTGCGGAAGGTCTTCAGGTTTATACATAGGTATGATTGATTGTAGAATTGGATTTTGAGTGATTGAGATGATTTTTAAAAAAAAAGTTAATATAAAGTTTAAAGAGATGACACGTTTTGCTGTTGGGGCACTAAATATTCTCTGTACTCGGATGATGCCTTGTGCAGTTAGCTGTGGCTCAAGGGGGGTCACACTGAGGATGCGTGTGAACGTAATAATTCATAACAAATAGGCGGGGGTCGATTTCTGTGAATTTGGAGCGGGAACATTTTTCACATCAGCAAAAAAAAAAGCACTACATTTTGTGATTGAGGCGGCATTGCATTGGAAAGGAATCTGCATTTATGCTTCTGACGCTTCTGGCATGCCATTTATTCTTACATTTAACAAAGCTGCTGGCTGCCCTTCGCCAACCTGAATGTGCGGGGGTCTCTTTCATGCTCAGATCATGTTTCCATAGGAGAGCACATGGGAGGGGGTAGGGGCACAGGGAGGCATCGGGTGTAGGTTCTGGTCAGACCGATAACAGAGGGGTGGGGGTGGGCGTGGGCGGGGGAGTCTAGTTGTGCAGGAGAATAGAGCACTGTTGATCGGTGTTCTGTGTATATAAAACTAATCCTGCCAGTCACAGGAATGGGTGGGTGCAGGTATGAAAGATGGTCTGAACATAAAAGCGGCCCTTAATTCATTAACTGAGCATATTTTCTGCATTGTCCCTGCAGATTATATTTTTGTTTGTTTGATTTTTCCAATAAAGTGCAAGCTTCCACACTTCTTCAGCTCCATGTGTATTTATCTGTGTGTGGCGTTTGCATATTCTCCGTGTGTGTGCATGGGTTTCTCCTGCGTGCTTTCTCCTATAGAGCGAACACGTGCAGGAGAATCGGTTAATTGGTGACTCTAAACTCTCGTAGGTATGAGAGTGACCATGAATAGTTGTTTGTCTCTGCATATCAGCCCTGTTATGAACTGTAAAAAAAAAAAGGTTTTGTGCATTGAGTGGTAATGTGTTTTAAAGCTGCAGTTGGTCATTTTTATAAAACTATTAAACAGATCATCTTTCACCAGGCCTGAACGAAAACAACCTTTTTTTGGCCTTTATTTGACAGAGATAGCTGGAGAGAGACAGAAAGGCAGGCAGAGAGAGAGGGGGGAACGACAGTTCAAAGCAAAGCGAACCGCAGGTCGACCCTGTTGCAACCTGACCACTGGCGATTATATATCCGTCCACCCAAGCTCTACCAAACTGATGCTAGGGGCTGCCCGCCATCAAGCATCTCTTTATACCATTTCTTGGCTCTGAATTGGTTGGTTTTCGTTCCAGCGCCCGGTGAGTTTTTACAAATGTAGCGGAGGAGGAGCGCAAACCTGAATATACCACCAGATTGTTTCTACACGCGCGTCTCACACTCCGTAGATAGTGCACATACACTCGACATCGCAGCGTCCAGCTCCATTGGCCCTTAGAACATGACGGACCAGGTCCTTTAAAGGTCAGATGATAGGTCTCTAAATGGTCATGCCATGTGTTTTAGTTATATAGACATCCGACGCAATGTCGTGATTGCATGTGCCGTGCAAAAACAAAAAAAATTGCTGCTTTTGGCTGTTCATCACATGATTATCACATCTCAAAGAATAAGGCAACCCGATGTCACTTATCACTATAAATACTTTCTCCTTTGAATGTCAATGATGTCAAGGAAAGGTCAAAGGAAAAGTGGTGGGAGAAGAGAATAGTGGAGAGGATAACTGCATATAAGGAACTTAAGAACAAATCGTGACCTACATATGAACGCTTTTAAAAACACTGCCATGACACTAGAGAGGGTGGGAGTAGTGTACGGGAGATACAGTAAAGACTCACGCAAAAAAATAAAATGGCCAGTTGCGTTGAGATCTCTCTAAGATAATAAGAAGTAGTGCCGAAACCTTGTAAGAGATGCTGCGTTCCAAGTGATAAAGGTTGGTACACTATGACCTGCCTGACAATGGGTTATCGTTGATAAAACATTGCGCGGCCTTTCATAGCTTCGCCGACTACTCAAAGCGCTTTTACACTACAGACACATTCACCCTTTCACTCAGTGAAGGCAAAGTCCATCAAACAGAAACTAACTCATCTTGCTTAGGGATACTTTGACATGTGGCGGCAAGAGCCGGGGATCGAACCAACAACCTTCCTATTAGTTTTCCGCTGATTGCTCTTCCATAATGCTGGGAAGTTGTGAGAGACAGATTTTAGAAAGAAAGATCTAAATCAAAGCAGCAGAGCCTGTTATATCCTGATTTCACATCCTACATTTCCCGTAATCCAACCAATAGCACATTTTTGTTAGTTTGACAGCAATACATAAAACAGATAATCTGTGAAAAAATCAGGGTCCTCCGGCTCGTTCTAACACTCCTAATGGGATTTGCAAGAATCCACCGGGCCTGGATAAAAATAACCAATCAGAGCTGAGAAAGATATAAAGACACTTTGCGTTGGAGGCTTAAAGATATAGTTGATTGTTGAGTCTCATTCCAAGGGTTCCAAAACATCTGTATTTGAAACCTGGGAATGAGACTCAACAATAAACTATCTTTCTCAGCTCTGATTGGTTGTTTTCGTTCAGGCCCAATGGATTCGTACAAATACCATTGGGAGTGCTACAACACGCCAGAGCTACCAGATTTTTTCACAGATTATCTGTATCATGTACTACTGTCAGGATATAGTGAAAGTGTCAGCAAATATGACAAAAAAGCAAGTTTTCTAAAAAAAAAAAAAAAAACCTACTACAGGTTTAACACCCCCCGTTTAAAGCGGGCTCTCTGTTTTACAGTTATCATCTCCCAGCAACATTCAGGAATCACTGGGCGTTACATTTATACAAAGCAGGCAACAGGGAGATACAAGTGGTGAGGAGTCCCACCCTTCATCATTATGGAGGCCTCTGCTGCTGAACCCGCAGGTGCAATAGCTCATTCATGTGCGACACACACATACACAGAAGGAGCTCAATATAAAAGCTACATCCTGCTTGGCAAAGCCTCTCCAGCAGCAATAAGAAGACTCTTTGTTGTGCTGCTACTTCCCCTTATTTTGGATGCAGCAGCAGAAAGATGCAAGTGTGTGTTAGCGCTACTTTCATGATAGAATTAACTGGCGGGTTTATAGAAGCCTCACTGTTGAGCTGGGGCCTTCCTTTTCACAGCTATCTTCAGACAGTTAACCTTACTTGACTATTCCTTCCTTTCCAAAGATGAGTTGGATGGAGAAGAAACAGCACATCAGTCTTTGGTTAAAGACTGTTTCCTCTTGATAAAGATTCTCAGGGAAACTGAAAACTAATATCTGATAACAAAGGTATGCAGATATTTCAGCAGGCATTGAACAGTGAATGTGCTGAAAACCACTGTCAGTAACATGCTTATAAACAGGATTATGAGAAAATGAAAGCGAGAAAGTTCCAGTTTTAATTTTGCAAAAAAAAAATCTTTTTCCTTCTTCTGTTAAACAGCACCCAAAGGTCCTGAGGCACAGAAGCCACATGGTTCAGCCCCTTCCAGATGCTCTGTTGCAATAATTGAGAAATGATATTGGTTTCTTACAAACACACAGCAGTAAGCACAAAGAAATCTATCTTTGAAATGTGTGAATGTACCTCCTGTAGTGTCAGTAAAATATCTTGAGAATTGTTGCCAGTCTTCCAGCTTCTTCCAGGTAGTAAAGTTACACACTTCATGATTTTATTGTAATAGGCTGATGGATTGGTTATGTTAAATCCTGGAAAATATCATGTCATATGAATCACAACCAATCCAGCCGTCCGTTCAGGTTAGATTGTCAGACTGTGGACTAGTAAAGCATGGAGCTCTTCTGCCACCTTGTGGTGTACAGGTACAGCTGAACGGAGAGCTGTGATTGGTGTGGTTTTATGTTGTGTATGACCTGTGTTGTTGGTCTCTGCTGTTTATTTGTTAATTGATTAATTGAATTGAATTTGTGGTCAACAGGACGGAATCAGTTGGCAATAGAAACAAGGTGTGAACACAACATTGACAGATCATCACCTTTTTAGCTGATATTGCGAAGTTGTCCACACCCAGCAGTTACGGAGTTGTGTTTGTGTCATTCCAACATTCACTTTCTTTTAGCTGTTTTTTGGTCTCCACCAACTCCTGAGGGAAATACCGGGCTCTGCAGCTGCTAAATGCTCCACTATGTGCACATAGTTTACATTAGTGTACAGTGGGTTCATAGAGCTTTTCAAAAATGTTTTGAAAGCACAGGGGTGACATTGACACCTAAAAAATGCCTTGTCACCCCAGCTGCCACCCCAGTTTGGTGTCAAATGCTGTCAAGAGATATTGAACCATGTAGCGGACGCGATCGCGCAGGCTGAATAAGGCTGGGTGGAGGGTTCATTATTGATAATCTCTGCGAACGTCCGTTGTTGCTATTTATTTAGCATGCACTAGCCATGGCGAGAGAACGTAGCGATAGTGCCCTACTTTGATCCCTGCAAGGATCTTCTTTTTCCTTCTTTTTCCTCTAAGACAAGACACTCTCGGACATTATATTTTCCGAAGCTTTCCCAAATGACTCGAGAGATACTCTATCGAGAACTTCCGCGCTGATCACATAAGATTGTGGCGGAAAAAATTTTAGTAATTTTCTATGTTGCTCCGTGAGTTTTTAGAATAGCGATCCGAGTTAAGTGGCGCTACTGATACATAACGTTTAGGATAAAAAAAGTGCCGTTTGAAAGGCCAATAACTTCTGCATGAGTCTATAGCAGGCACAACCTCATACAACAAAAAAACACTTCATATCCACGCCGTTCGGTATGGATGGAGCTGAAACTCCCCATAATAGGACTACCCGCCCAACTTCCGCCTAAGAATGTTTTTTTAACCACCCATAGACGCGAAAATGTCCAAAAATAACAGCCTTTTTCGAGTGTTAACTTCCCCCTATACATCTTGTCGCGATTTTCCACCGAAAATTTTTTCAACCCAATAAGCAGTTCTGAGAGCCATCCATCACCTGGGCAAAAAAGATTTAAGAATTTTGATATCGCCCAAACAATAGCCCTGTTAAGTTAAAAGTCATTTAACTGTCGCTGCTCATCATCTTTTTGAACGCGAACAACAGCGCATATGTGGTAGGCAATTCTACCCAACAATGGTATGTCCCGATTTGACACCCAAACTTGAATCATATGAGTTCCCCGTAGTCTTCCTCAGCTGAGATGCGTGATAGCATTATGTTCAGAGCTATCCACCTTCAAAGTGGCGCTCTTTTAAAAATTCACACCAGTATTCACAAGTCGCCCAGCGATCTCGGGCAGCTGTGACGATATAAAAAAATGAGCAGACTATGGTAGCGATCTCTCGCCCATTGGCGATCCCTGCGGAGGCTTCCCGTAGGTATACAACGTGTCAACATCCGCCTCTAGGTGGCGCTTGTATAGTGATACTGTGTGGACCGTATGTTTATCACGTGTAAGAAGTGACACTGCTGAAGCTCACATTCCAATCGATGTTTATCAAAGGTTTGTACGGCCCCTACAGGAATATATAACCAGATATGATACGAAGAGTACTGCGGTCAGGAGAGCACGTGAATAAACGTCCACCAAGACTAGGATGGTAAAAAAAGTCCTTCACTTAGGAACACGATACCACGCAAAACCCCACCGGGAAAGTCGGCCCAATTTTGATTTTCATTTTCACTTTCGGTGAAATTTTCGCGTTGTATTTGAACGAACTCCTCCTAGGGAATTCATCGGATCTGCTTCAAAATTGGTCAGTACAGTCAAAAAATGGTGCTGATTAAAAGTTGTGCTATTTGTACACAATCACAATAATCACAAAAAGTTATTCCTATAAAAGTTATCTACTGCAACCTTAAAACTATAAAATAGAGACATTAAAAAAATGTGTAACAAAAAACAGCCATAGACACAGATGCATTTCTCCCCTCCCATGTTTAACACTGGTACAGAACAGAGTGAAATCAGACACCCGTAAACAGAAAACATACAATAAACAATGTCTAATAGATGACTGATTGAAAAGTTCAGCAGATACATTGAGAAAGTGCTAAAAACAAAGTACAACAGGCACACACATATTTTAACAGCTCAGCAAGTTGAGGAATGAGGAAAGGTGGATGAAACAGAATAAATGGGGCGAGGGACAGACAGAGAAAGAAATGTAGCCAAGAGATGATGTTCAGCAGTTCAGAGTGTTAAAAACCACAACCGGACAGGATGGTGGAGCTTCTGGACGTTTAGCTGAAAATACAAGAAACAAGAGACGGTGTTGAAGTGCACATCTTAACTAACCATCCTCAGCAACATGTCATTGGATGCCCTTCAACAAATCTTTCATGAATTAATAGTTTGTCATAGCAGAGCTTTTCAGTCCTCCTGTTTCAGACAACCAGGGTCCCATCTCACAAAGGGAATTCGCAAGTAATGCTAACACATTTCTACCAAATTAGCTCTCATTCTTGAACTGGTTCCATTGAAGATCCTTGGAACCTTGGTGCAATCTAGGGAACCAGCCCGAGTTTCCACCAGTTTTGAGAGGAACCATAGTAACCATAGATGTGTCACCAACAGAGGGCGCTGCACAATGCACAATGACATAGAATGACATGGTGCTCCGAAAGGTTCAATTGGTGAGTAGGTAACTTTAATATATAAAAAAAAAAGGTTTTGTCATTATTGCTGAAATTTTCACTGTGTTCTGACAGTATTTCTAGACAGATAATATTATATATAAAGAGGCTGTGGATCAGAAGCTTGAAGATAGCTGATTGTTGAGTCTTATTCCCATGGTCCCAAAGCATCTGTACACCTTGGGACGCCCTGGGAATTAAACTCAAAAATAAACTATCTTCCTCATGTACTACAGTCAGGATATAGAGAAAATGTAAGCAATAATGACAAAAATGTTTATATTAAAATTAGCTACTACAGCTTTAAACTTCGATGTTAATTATGTCATTCATCTCTAATGTAAAGACAACAAGATCAGAGAGCAGAATGGATTGCTCTGATTTAAGACAGTGTTTATTACATTTAGTCAATAACTTTATCAGACTCGTCAGTTTTTTTTTATTAGCTGGCTCTATAATAATAGTTTTCGAGTCCAGATATATTACAATGTTAATGCCTAAAGCTATTGTAACTGTTGCTGTAAAGAGATAATAATTCATTATCCATCTAAAAACCAACTATCATTATTTAAGACTGTTGTTACTCTCAAATATTAGGACCTACAGCAGCCAGACAGATCAGTGTACAATAATCTTGAATTTCCCTCGGGATAAATAAAGTATCTATCTATCTTTATCTAATGGTATTTTTATCAAAATTAAAGGAACATTACACTGGCAGGTTCAATAAGCATGCTTCTCACTTGGAAATAACATGTATCACTACTTACATGGAGGTCATGTCATTGAGGGCGTGGTCCAGTTCCTCGCTAATGGCTTTGTACTTGAGTTTCTGTGCATACAGCTCATCTGTATGTCCACACACAGACAAAGGTGTGTTGCAAAGAAGAAGACAAGAGAGGCTGAAATTAGTATTGTTGAAAACGAGGCAAATATAATAAAGACGTTAAGTGACCAGAACAATATACATCCATGTTAATGTATTGGAATTTTAACTCCTGGTTAAAAGCCGGGTTAAACTTTTTTCTAGATGGAGTAAAGGAATATTAAGTAATATTATTATTATCATTATAGGTAATATTACATTATATAATTATGTGTTTATGTTAATAAAATACAATTATATACAGCTCAACTACTACTACATGGGATTGTCTAAAATATTACAGTTCAAATGATTCAAAGCGTTTTGTTATTGAGTTTTTGAGTCTACAGAGTTTTCATCTATGGAGGCTGTTGAACTGCCATGTTTCTATAGCAGCCCTGATCCGGCAGACCAAATACAACAAAAAGATAGGACCTTTTGCGTTTTTCAGGCATTCTGCAGTCAATCTGTAACTACACTGCAACTAGATCATGAGAACTTTCACTCTCTGACTGCATTGGCATCAGAGAATGAATTTCATTGATTGTAGCAAGGTGTGTGTGATACTATACTATATAGACTATATATAATACTATATAAAATGATGAGGGGACCTAAGACATTTTCGGCAGACTGTGCTCCAGACTGCTTGGTTAAACTTGTTTAAGGTTTGAAGTAACTAAAATATGCGACATTGTGGACTGCATGACTTTGTGCAACAGCTTCCTTCTTTCTGGAAAATCAGTAAATTCTAATTGTATTTAAGAAGTACACTAGTAATGGTGGGAAGTGGTCAGTATTGTACTGTACCTTCCAGATCATCTATAGTCTTCTCTAGCTTGGCCACAGATCTCTCAGCAAACTCAGCTCGGGTCTCAGCCTGAGGCACAAAACACAAGTCAACAAATAAAGTCAACAAATTATAACGAGCAGAATATGGTATATGGACTGTACTTATATAGCGCCTTTCTAGTCTTTTAATCACTCAATGCACTGTACACTACATGCCATACTCACCCTATTCACACACAATTATATACTGATGGCCGTGCCAACTGCTCATCAGAACAGAAACTAAGCATTCACACCCACAGTCACACACCAATGCACAGCATTTGGAGCAATCTGGGGTTCAGTATCTTGC